GTGTAGTTTATAAGTTTGTATGCGCTGGCTGTAATGCCTGTTACGTCGGTGAAACCTCTGCCGGTATTTTTCCACACGTGTTAGAGAGCACTAAGTCAGTGACAGGGCCTCTCATTTTCAGGCATCTGAAAGATTCTCCACATTGCCGCGCTTTGTGTTCTACCGATAACTTCCATATTTTAGATCACGCCTCCACCAGCTTTCAGCTTATGATAAAAGAGACTATTCATATTCAAAGAGAACAACCCTCTTTGAATCAGCAATTACACCATGTAAATCTAAAAGTATCTTTTCAATTCTCACACTTTCATACTTTACCTCTTTTCTTGTTGTCACTATCCATCTTAATTAGAATTTTTCTACTTACTATAGAATTCAACTTTCAACGCTTTGAACATTTTTTACAGACTCAAACTTTAAATTAAAAAAATTAATAATTATACTTCAACAACTCAAACATTTTCTGTTAAGTCTAGAAATTAAGAGGATTCTTAAAAGTAATTTCCATCAGAAATGGAGTTTAGTTAAATTGTTTCCCAAAGATATGATTGTTTTCACTTTTCTTCAAAAAATGGGAGCTTTGATTCTCCAACATTTTCCTTCGTGATACATAAGCACCAAAAAAGGGAGGGGGGGAGGCGAGCTGTAGTACAACACTTTAGAAGACAAACACTTTTTGTTGGGGGGAGGCATTGCCCCCTACATTTCGGTAGTAAAAGTTTTCTCCTCTGAGAGTATATCACGCGCCATCCTTTACCACATAAGCCAAACTCTGACGTCATCAATGGTTATCTCGTGACGTCACTAGATGTCGTGGAGGAAGGGGAGAAAACGCCAGGATACTTAATGGGAATGTCTAAATAGGTACTATAATTATATCTTTTCTCTTGTACATCCTCCCCTCTCTCCCAAAAAAAACCACCCAATTAACTTCTTATTGGTTGTGTAACCTCTAAATCCTAAACTCATAGCTTGCCGAAATGGCTCTGGATCTCTCTGAGAAGCGAAACAACTTCGCACTCTATGGTGGGACATTCATAGGTAGGATGTTTCAGTCTGTTGTAAAAGTTTATTGTGACATCCAGCTGTAACTTAGAATCTATCTAACTTCAAATAAACCTTTATGAGTTAGGACCGTTTTGGTTCCTTTCATGTTGTCGAAGTGTATCAACGCTCAGAGAAAACAAAACAAAGGAAACTTTATTTTTTTAGCAGATCCTGGCCCCTGTTTCTGAATGTTTCTGTCCTTTTAGCTTGGCTTTTTTTCGAAACGGAACCTTCCGCTTAGGGGTTTAATTAACAATAATTAAGTGGCGATCTCTGTAAGAGCGGTCCAGGGTATTTCGCACCGGAAAAAAGTTTTCCCTCAAACTTTGCCCAATTAACTATCTTTGGTTGCAAGTAAATAAAACCACATTAGTTTCTGGAAATACGTTAAAATAAAATTTTTAGAGCTCTCAAAAGTCAAAGCTGCTAAAGGCCCTTTTTTTACCTCTTGCGACATCGAAAATTTCAAAAGTTGAATACCCTGGTCCTCGTATCACACCGCATGCAGCAAAAAATCTTTTGTATTTTTAAACTGTGTGATATGTTAGGTGAATAAAAAGTATTTCAATTTTGATATTTGTTTATTCAGGGGTTCGTCATAATTTATTTAAAAACACTCGTTAGACAGCTTTCTGAAATTGGTCAAAAGTACTCTTTCCTTCTTGGTTGATATTGCTCGAGTCCAGACCAGACCATTGAAAACTCCGCTTGATTTCTTCTAATAAGATGTTTGGCTGCATAAAAATATAAAAACATCTAGCACTTATTAATTTTGTTCGCTGCGGTGACTTCAGACTTTCAATAAATCTTAGATTTTAACCACTTTAAGTTGAAAAGATAGTAGGACAGAGCTTTAAGACTACGCCAATTGATACTCTAAACATTTCAAAAGGCCAGAATTTGACAAATTTCACTTTCTCGTGACGAAAGACGTCAACAACAATGCATCGACTATCATAATTTGATTAGCGCTCGCTTAACATTTTAATGGCAAACTCTTTCTTAAAAATTTGGCTTCTGCTATTTCATGCATATTTGAGTTCTGACAGGTTACGCTATTCAAATCTGTATGAACATTTCAGAGCCAAACTACAGGATTCTATTTAGTGTAACCGGCAATAACAGCACACACTGAAATAAACCTTGACCAGTGACCCTGTCACGTAATTCCATCCTATATTTAGCCTGAATTGCTTCTCCTTTCTAAATAAAGAAGCGATAGATCAGCGATTTAGATCAGAATTCTAGTCGGCGGGAATAAGAGAAAGTTTGTCTGCACACTTGTCTTTAAGACAGTTCTATTCAGAACTTAAGCATAGATCCAATTCAAGTCTTAAATGCATATATTGATAGCCTCGCCGATGTTGCACATAAGCCCAGGATTACACATTTGGAATCTCAAGTAGATTGTTTGGAAAAATGCTCCTTTCCCAAAAAATCTGAGTTTGTTCAAAAAGCTGGGGAAGCGTGCCAGTTGGTGTGCGATGTCATTGCTCTAAGAGATGGAAAAGCGTGATTCCAAGCGGTCGTAGACCATGAAGAGAAGTGCAAGACAGCTATTGATGTTGGCCTTCAAAACGGTCGCCTATCAGAATGCTTCCATAAAATCACTTAGGACTCAAATACTGAGTTTTTATGCCGATAGATTTTCAGCCAACGAGCTTAAACGCATGCATCATCCATTTGAAAACCTCTCCGATAGACAAATAATACTATTTTGCGAAATAAATTTTGAAACGGTTTAAGAAATAAGAGGAGGCCAAGATGTTCGGTGATATACTAATTTGTAATGTTTAAATGTATTTTGGTGACATGAAAGAGGTCACGTTGTCACCGCAGGGTGAAAATAGTCCATTTCGCAAAATAGTAACTCTCCTAAAATTACTATTTTGCGAAATATATTTTAATACGGTTTAAGAAATGAGAGGAGGCCAAAATGTTCGGTGATATACAAATTTGTAATGTTTAAATGTATTTTCGTGACATGAAAGAGGTCACGTTGTCATCGCAGGGTGAAAATAGTCCATTTCGCAAAATAGTAACTCTCCTAAAATTACTATTTTGCGAAATATATTTTAATACGGTTTAAGAAATAAGAGGAGGCCAAAATGTTCGGTGATATACTAATTTGTAATGTTTAAATGTATTCTCGTGACATGAAAGAGGTCACGTTGTCACCGCAGGGGTGAAAATGGTCCATTTCGCAAAATAGTAACTCCCCTAAAATTACTATTTTGCGAAATATATTTTAATACGGTTTAAGAAATAAGAGGAGGCCAAAATCTTCGTTGATATACTAATTTTAGGCCTCACGGAACAGCGTATGCACGTGAGTTAAGGAAAATTTCAGACATGCGCAGAATAGGCTCTCTCCTGTGTTTACTTGTCTCCTAAACGCTCTTAAAACTTTACCGTTGAATATCTTGTCAAAACACGAAGTCTTTGGAAGTTTAACACATAAACCGGGAAGACTGCGACGAAGTTGAAGATTCTACCGTTTTATTTTTTTCCTTTTCATCGACTAAGTGGTAGAAATTCTTATTTTTCGTATGGTTTTGCCGTTCATCGCGCGTGGTGTTTATTATTTGGAATTTCGAAACGGACAAGTTTAGGAGTGGGCATCGTGTTTTTAAGGCAAACTATGTTCTGGAGTCCATCGTTGTTCGTTTGAAAGTTATTCACATTTTTTGGACGCGCGCTCAAGATACCATGGAGGAGTGAAATATATCGACTGATGTAATGTACTCAGAGCAGCTCGAAAGTACAGCAAGCACACAATGCACGAGGTAAGAATATAAATTAAGTTATCTTGACCCCTATCTTGGGGTGTGTTGGTGATAAAGGGTCATTTAGCCTACTTTCAATATCGCCCACTCGAGATCGAGAGTGAACTCCGGTTTAATAGTCAACAGGAACCAAGTACAATTTATCAATCACTTCTCGGGTACTCGTTGGTACTTACTACGGATTACGGAGATGATGTTTGACTGGTATCGATTGTCAAATTAATGCTCATTTCTTTTGGGCGCTTTGAATGTAGAGGATTGACCAATACACTGATTGTTTTTCGACCACACTGCATATTTAATAATTAGTATAGGTCCAGGTAAAGTTTGGTTGTTGAACTGGCATTACTTATCTTTTACACAGAATAAGGAAAGACAGGATAATAAACTTAGCACATTTTTAACAGATCCAGTGTTCCACTCTAATTTATTACTGTTAATCGTTGTACACCAACTATGAGTAACATAACATTGGCTGCATCACTTTGATTTGCTCTTCCTGTGCAAAATGTTATGCTTATTGTACTAAGAACACTATACATAAGTCATGTTCTTATCACATTAAAAGTTACATACTGCTAGTGATATGTTAAGTTATGCATGTGTGCAACAGTATAAAGATATAATCTACATGTAGTTAAATATCACATTTATTATGTTCTTAAACTGCTGAAATTTAGTGACAGCAATTCAGTGTTTGTTCAATATTCTACAAAGCTACAGTCATACATAACAATTTAAAATCGGATACATTACAGCTTTGTATACCTACTGTTCATTTTGAATGTAATATTCAATTCATTTAATTCAAGATCCAACACAACATGATTGTACATGCATGTCTCATCTTCGGCACCATGCACTTCACTTTTACCCTGTAAAACCAGTTGTAATATTGTAAACCAAAAAGCTAACATGTTACTTGTACATATACTAAGATATTAAGCTATGTTCTCTTTACTAACATGGCATATACAACGTGCTTTTACCAGGTTAATTCTAACATGTTGTGTTGAAACATTAATCAATTATTAAATGCATCTCTGTGTGTAAAAATGCATACATGCTGAGATATATTTATTTCATGCAGTGTGGTTGGTGAAATAAATTCTTATATGTACAAATCTAAAACATTTAAAAATTACTGAGCCACCCCTCATGACTACTCTATTCTTCATGTGCAGGCAACAGTGTAACATGTTCAGACATGTGGGATGTGGAAAGATAAGTAGTTGGAGGCTGGAAGACATTTGGAAGATTTTGTAGACACAACTGGCATTCTCTTGGTAGATCATAAATTGGTAGCTCCTCCCCATAGTTCCACACCTTTAGTGCCGCTAGCTGCATGAGTCTTGGAACTTGTCCATCAGGTGTACAGGTAACTCCCTCAATTACTGTTGGGTTGAATGACCTCTGTCCCTCCAGTGCAGATGTTCCCTTGGCAGAAGCCTTCCATTGAAGTTTAAGTTTGCGACCATCTGCTTTTAGTGACTGAATTGTTTCTGGTAAGTTATTGTTTACTTTCTTCTCTACCCAAGCTCTAGGGTAAACATCCTTTGCAGTAAGTGGCCCATGTGTGCAGTTTTCTCTAATCTTGTTTAGGTTCTTTCTTGCCTCTTGCAAAACGTCTGTGGTGAGCATTTGGGTATAATCTTTCATTCTTTCTTCATGAACTTCACGTGCTGCTTCTGTGGTTCTGGTGTTGGTTTTTCCACTATGCAGAATATTTTCAACAAATGTGATTGAGGCCTGTTTTGATAACTCTGACATGTTATCATTAAGATACAGTTGAGAAAGATTGAACTGTCTTTCAGCAAGAACATTGTTAACTGGAAGACTGAAAATGTGCTTGGCATAGAACTCAAACAGGTTAGGAGTGGCTTCTTTACTTATGAGTGAGCTGTGTGGTGATGAAGCAATTTCTTTGATCTCACTGAGCAATTGTGGTTCCATCAATTTCCAAAGAGTGGCCCATTTAATCAATCCAACTCTATCCTTAGACACCAATGTTAGAATGTTCTGTCCATGTGCATGAAAGAGATTGTTGACTGACTTTTCTTGTTGATTCTCAGATCTGACTGGAATTTCAAGAAGCTTTAAAACTGAATGCCAGAAAGGACTTTGGTATCTCTGATCAGCTCCCATTCCAAACAACTTGGGAAAAGTTAACCACTCTGCTCCATGATCTTTAATTACTTTAATTGCTTCTTGTAACATTGGCCTCTGCACTTGTTTGTGAAAGTGGTTGATAGCTGCTGGGTCCTTCAATGACATCTTCACCTGTTGTGATGTTAAAGGAAAATATTCTGCAGGAGACATCAACATTTTACTTAAAGTTTCATGGTGCTTCAGAACAGTTGCTGGCCATAACCTTGCTAGGTAACCACTGGAGAATCCAAGTTCTGCATCACTAGCTTGGGATGTATTCAGAGATGGGATGATAAACTTATCGAGGAATTCAAACAAAAACTTGATTTCAACTTGAATCATAGGACTGGAGCTCAGCTTAATGACATCTTGCCAAATAGTCTGGTGGCTATCTGATTTTGGCAATCTTTCAAGGAGACACTCAGCGAGCTGTAAACAAGCTTTTCCATACTTAAGATACCACTGGAGAGTTTCATGATAATATGTCCACCTTGTGTCTATGAATGTCTGGGTAAGGGGTGGCTCTTTACTTAGAATACCAAGAGAAACATACATAACTTTGTATTGGCTTGGATGCTCATGATGGAGCCAAGATATTTTATGGAGTAATTGTAAAACATGGGGGTTGCTCATGTCACCCTTGGCCCCAAACCCAGCCTGGCACATTTTTCTCAGCATAATGTTTAGTACATGTGGGTAGCATCCTACAAAAAACATCTCTTTTCCAAAAATTCTGGCATTGTTAGCTAAAAGACCATTTACTTTTCCCTTTTGGGTAGAGGCATTGTCCCCAACCAACCCTGAAACATTGGTAATATCATATTCATTTTTTACAACATGGTAATCTACATCAGACTGGTGTTTTCCAGACCCACTTGCTGTTAGGCTGTTTGCAAGGACATAAGCTCGTGGCTTGCTCTCTAAGGGACATCACCTGTGAACACCCACTACGTGCCTCTCCTCTCCTCCTTTGTGGGAGTCATCGCTCCAGAGATGAAAATCATACTTGGAATTTGAAAAGCACTTGTGTAAAATTAGTTTGTCAGCTTCACCTAAGAGAACATTCCAGTCAGAAAGTGTAGTTGGAGAGACAATGAAGTTTGTTGGGGGGCTACAATTGAACAAAATATTGAAAATCAGATGTAATGCTACAGGTGTCTTTTGATATGATAACAAAGATGCATGTTGCATGTATCTGACACAAGTCATAAACATCAAGGTCCTTTGGTTGTGTCCATTGTGACCATGAGCAAATGTCTCAACAAGGGAATACCCCTTTTTGGCAATTTCACTGTTGCCCTCTAATTTCTGTTTTAGCTTTGAGGAAGCAGATCTTGTTCCCCTTAGCTTGTGTCTGACTTGTTTTTCCTTTTTTTCAGTAGACGTCAGATTTTTTTTACACTTTTTAAGTTGAGTTTGAAGCCTCAACACGTCCTTTTTCAATTGGATGTTCCTTCCTTTTACAAATACTGAAATTATGAAAAGGTGACACAATAAAAATTAGTTAAATGTAACTGATTTCACATGATAGAGTATTGAAACAGAATACAAAGTTAAAATGTCCCACCAGAAATCTTATCGACCAGGTATATTTAGAATGTGTAGTTTAAATTTGGCAAAAACATTGTTATCACAATTGCAAGGTTGAATAATTGAAACTATTGTGTTTCCAGGGTGGTCCGTACGCAGATAATTTTGTTCACGTTGATAAAAACTTCTAACACAAGCCTCAAAACTTCACTCGTAAAACTCTCGATACTGTGTGACACTCAAAGATACGCGTCCTCATGATCTGCTGACCGAAAAAATTAACTTGCCTGTACATATATTTTCTTAGGTACGAACCTTTAGAGGGAATTTAGTCCGCAGTTTAATTTTTTCGCTTTTGAGTGCGCTTACTACCTCCCTTGCGTTAATCGCCGCTCCAAATAGTTAAGTAAGAAAAAGCCTGAAAATACTGACCATGTAGCCATATCGACTACTTTGTCTTTATTTTCGAGAAGTTTTCTTTTTCGGCTTCTGTTCGGTGGGAGTATTGTCGGTTTATGATTAAAATCCTCTTAAAGTAGTGTTATTAGCGATTGCGTAAGTTGCAACCGCCGAAAATTCAGAATGGGAATGAAAATCATTCATCGTAGTTCGTGGCTCAGGCAATTCTTAGACATTTGCAAGTCCTTGCATTTCCATTCCCTGAAATAATATCACTTACCTATACTGCGTCGAAAGGTTTTGACTGTTCCTTTTAGATTTGCGTTTTCAGACCTCAAAGTCTTGCATTCTCTCTTGAGTCGATCGATTTTTTCTTCAGCTAAAAAGTTGCAAACTTGCACCGCAACGCTTTTTTTTTCAACTTTTTCAAAATAATCTTCATGTTTTCTCTGCTTCTTTTTGGCTGGTGGCTGATTTTTACTAGAAAACTGGCTACCGTGAGGTCTTTTACGAGCCATCAGGAGTTCTCGTCAGCGAGTCGGCCGGCGATTAATTAACACAAATCTGCAACTTTGATGTAAACAACCCTCAGCACGAGCCCGCGTTCCTTTTATCAGGCAGTGGTACAAAGTAATGTAATCTACGCATGTCTGAGATTTCAGGGGGTTACGGTTTCCATGGGTGGGGTATCTTTCCGTGAGGCCTAAATTTGTAATGTTTAAATGTATTTTCGCGACATGAAAGAGGTCACGTTGTCACCGCAGGGTGAAAATAGTCCATTTCGCAAAATAGTAACTCTCCTAAAATTACTATTTTGCGAAATGAATAAAAATCCTTCTTGTTAATGAACGATTACTCCAAAATCCTTGTGAAAGTTATCTTTACCTTATTAGAAAATATATCTGCATTATTCCTTTTGTTTTATTTCATCTGACCCGATTTCGTTTCGTTTCGTTTCGTTTCGTTTCGCAAAATAGTATAAGCCCAAATAAAGAAGGCAAGAGCACAGGCGAAGAGTGAGGTGCCTGTTGAAAAATCCTGCGTCACAGAATCTGACCTTGAGTTCCATGTGAACTTGGTAGTTCATCATGTAAGTCCTGTGTCTGCGAGCATGACTGAAAGTCTTTATGGCTAAGTGAAGAGGGAGTGGGTTCATCACTTTCAGTCATTGTCATTAGAAGGTTCGACTGCACTGGTTGCAGTGGCCACAGAACCCTTGACAAGTGCTTCACAGCTTCCCATGGGATGAACTCTTCATAAGAGAGGTGCAAGTGTACGGCTTTCGCAAAACGTCAGGCAGCACTCGTGTTTGAGGGAGGCCAGGAACACAGTAATGGATGAGATAGGACTGAAAAATCCAATCATGTTTGATGTCCATGATGTGTGCTCGTTGGCAAGAGGGTGAAGGTTGCCCAGCCTCAAAGTCAAGGTACTAAGAGACATGTGCAAACATTTTGAGCTCGCATTCAAAATGCAAAAATGGAGGAAATGATTTCGGAGTGGAGTTGTAATGCAGTCTAATTATGACGTCCACCCGTTATGCGAATGCGATATCCTTTTTCACAATAACTCTCCAAAGTTATGAACAGCGACTGCTATGCAGACAGGTGTGACGACCAAATATCATTTGTTCCTGTCAGCTTGAAATTCGAGCAATCGCTGCTTTACTTGGACTTGAGAGGTATTCAGGACAATTATACGATGGAATTACGTGACAGAGTCACTGGTCACGGTGTATTTCAGTGTGTGCTGTTATCGCCGGTTACACTAAATAGAATCCTGTAGTTTGGTTCTGAAATGTTCATACAGGTTTGAATAGCGTAACCTGTCAGAACTCAAATATGCATGAAATAGCAGAAGCCAAATTTTTAAGAAAGAGTTTGCCATTAAAATGTTAAGCGAGCGCTAATCAAATTATGATATTCGATGCATTGTTATTGACGTCTTTCGTCACGAGAGGGTGAAATTTGTCAAATTCTGGCCTTTTGAAATCTTTAGAGTATCAATCGGTGTAGTCTAAAAGCTCTGTCCTACTATCTTTTCAACTTAAAGTGGTTAAAATCTAAGATTTATTGAGCTACTTATATAAAACGGTCGGAGTTTGTTCAATGAACTAATTTGCATAATCGGCTGTCACGCTAGCAAAATCGCTGAAAGTCTGAAGTCACCGCAGCGAACAAAATTAATAAGTGCTAGATGTTTTTATATTTTTATGCAGCCAAACATCTTATTAGAAGAAATTAAGCGGAGTTTTCAATGGTCTGGTCTGGACTCGAGCAATATCAACCAAGAAGGAAAGAGTACTTTTGACCAATTTCAGAAAGCTGTCTAACGAGTGTTTTTAAATAAATTATGACGAACCCTGAATAAACAAATATCAAAATTGAAATACTTTTTATTCACCTAACATATCACACAGTTTAAAAATACAAAATATTTTTTGCTGCATGCGGTATGATACGAGGACCAGGGTATTCAGCTTTTGAAATTTTCGATGTCGCAAGAGGTCAAAAAAGGGCCCTTAGCAGCTTTGACTTTAAAAATTTTGAATTTAAAAAATTTTATTTTAACGTATTTCCAGAAACTAATGTGTTTTTATTTACTTGCAACCAAAGATAGTTAATTGGGCAAAGTTTGAGGGAAAACTTTTTTCCGATGCGAAATACCTTGGACCGCTCTTACAGAGATCGCCTCCTAATGCGTGTTGGATAATAAGAAATGCATGGCTATTACCGATCACATCTGATTGCCAGTGATTTTAAAACAACTACTAGATAAGTAATCAGAAATGTGATTTTCAAATTTAAAGTTGAAATTTTTAATTTTGCACGCCATGTCTTAGATAAAGAAAGCCTTCCCGCTGTGGACCACTATAACAAAATCAAAATTATCCATTAAAAATTGTTCAATTTTAAGGGCCCATTTCCAACCTTCATGCAACGTGCACCGCGACCTACTTTCCTGTAACACGAAATTCTCAGATCACTGAAAACCTTCTAAAATCATCTTTCTCAAGACATCCTAGACGTATAGTGAACTGTTTTACGGTAAATTCATTCGCCGTTCGTCATTTCACAGTTTCCTTACAGTATTTTGAATTTTGTCTGGAAGAATCCGAAGAAAATTGTGTCACGCTTGGATCTCTTCGTACTCTGTGAACAGAGTCGGCGAAAAGGACAAAGTTCAAATTTGTTCCCTTTCTAGAGGCGCTTGAGGATTCTAAATAAAGATAAAATATTTCCAATAGAAATTGGTATTTTTTAAAGAGAAATATGGAAAAATATCAGACTGCCGGACGTTTAGTTATTCGAAGACCGTGTCCGGTAGTGTCCGGTGAAAATTTTCTTAGTGTCACGCTTGGATCTCTTCGCACTCTGTGTACAAGGTCAGCGAAACAGATAACGTTGGCATTTTTTTCACTTTCTTGAAGCGCTTGAGGATTGTAAATGAATGTAGAATATTTTCCAACCAAAAATTGGTATATTTCAAAGAGAAATATGGAGTTATTTGAAGACCGTGTCCAGCCGTGTCATTGAAAAGTTTTTAAGTGTAAAGCGCTTGGATGGCTTCGTACTCTGTATACAGGGTTAGCGAGAAACAACAAGTTCGAAATTTTTAGGCTGCCTGGAAGCGCTTGAGAATTGTAAATAAAGGTAGAACATTTTCGTATAAATACTCTTTGGATTTCGAAGAGAAATATGGAAAAATATCGGACTGCCGAACGTTTAATTATTTTAAGTTTAGTCACTTCATTGCAGGAACGTCAGCGACACTGATAGTTTGCGTTA